AGGGCCACCAGAAGGCAGGGAGAAGGGAGAGATGATGGGGATCCCTCCCTTCATGCCATGCTGTGAGTGGGACGCGTACCAGGAGCAATAACACGTTGATAACATGCATGCTGGCACTGCCTATGGGTCCCAACGTCCCACTGATTTCATGGCCACGTGAGCCACGCACAGTGAAAATGATCACCATCTCATCAGGGATAAGTCTTAGCCAATTGCAAAGTTAAGCTTTGAGCTCTGCTTTTCCCCCCATGTTAAGACTACTGTGATATACGTTGCTATATTCAGATTGCCAGTGTTATTTTCTTGTGACATTCTGCTCTGTACTATGGACAAACTCATTTTAAGCTTTAGCATAGAATTTCAAGCTTGGAGACAGTAGACACTTGTCAGCAGTTGTGCTGCTTTCCATGCCTGAAAGTCTTTGCTAATCCCAAAGCAAGCCTGTCCTTAGAAGCCAGAGCACCTTTTTGTTTCTCCTGGACAACACGCATGGAAATTCCCAATCGGCTTTCATGCACAATTTTCCAGATACAATCCTAATATCCTAACGACTTGGAGGAAAGCATTACAAAGCCAACACATAAAATGAGCCTCTGACAGTGCACTCCAGTGCCACATCTTCTGAAAAAAGGCTATAAAGACTGCCTCTGTATTCAGCTGCATTTCTGCAATTTAGGACAAGCATCAGATCCAAACAGGATTTGGCAGTCTCCATAAATACCTCATCAATGGCTACAGTAACCTCTTCAATTCCATTCATGTCACCACTTCACAACTACAAAGTTCACTACTGAAGGGGCTATTTCCCCATTTAGCTATTGAGCACAGAAGACAGAGCTCAAGAGAGAGCTTTTTACCTTTCTACTGCCTTTAGGAGATCCTCATTCTTAGCAGTTCTACATTCAAATCACTGTTAATATGCACAGCTTAGGGTCATAAGACAGACAAGTGCCTAAAATACATTCCCAAAGTTTTAACACCTCCACAAAAATGAGTAACAACTCGAGGTATGTGCAGATGGCTTGCAGAATGCATCACTCTAACTGAAGGTTGCTCCCCTGTCTTTCTATTTGAGCCTGTTTTCTAAACAAAACTCATGCTAGTGCAATAATTTGATGGTGTAGCCTAGGCCTGCCTTACCTCTAAATGTAGATTTAGAGACATACTCCTTCCCCCTATCCCCTGTTCATAACGCAGCATATTTCAGATCCAGCAGATGCTCATTTTGTTCCTAAAACAGATTTAATGGGTTTTCCATGAGCTAAATACCTGGCAAAAGGGCTCTGTGCAGCTTTAATACTTTCCTATCCCGGTGTTAAATTTGTCCTAGTGTTGCACATCACATAATTCTGCAGCCATGTCAACTATTCAGGTAATGCTAGAATGTCATCATTATGGTTTATGTCCACAGCATGATCTGTATGTACCTTGTAATCATTCTGGTGTTGGGTTGCAAAGGTCCCCGGACTCTTCATTTGGCTGAGTCTAATTCTGTCCTCCTCACAAAGATCTAGAGTTACACTAAGTAAAGGCTGACATTTACAGAGACACTAAGACTGCTGGAATGACTCACCAAGGTAAAACCTAGGCTATATATTCTTTCAAGGACGTAAGCTGTGCAGTGCCAACGTTTCCGCTAACCTGCTGCAGAAAGGCTCGGCAAGGCAAACACAGGCAGAGGGCACGTCAGGCATGGAGCTCAGGGAATGCTCCCCTCTGTCATCACAATGCTTCATCCCATCAGGGGATGGGATTCCAGGTGACTGAGAACATGGAGTTAAAGGCAGCCTGGAGCAACTGCTCCACCCTGAGAGAAAAGGACACGTTTCAAAGAGAAAACATCTGCTCAGAGCAACCTACCAGCACTTGCTTGGAAGCTGAATGACCTCCTCTCATTTTTACTGAGAAACTGAAGTTGCACAGAAGCCTGCTGTTTCTATTACGTGAAACCAACTAATAGCATCAGGGCTGGTCAGCACTGCAAAGTCCAAGTACATTTACTCTCCTACATTCACTCTGCTCTCTGAAGCAACACCTGCCATCCAATACACTTGGAAGTATCATGGCTTACCAAATATCAAGAGCCACAGCAACATCCAGTCTCAACCAAAACCAGGCAGCTTTAGACTAAAAATAGTGCCTGTTTAGGTGATTAAACTTATAAGCCTTTTATCTATTCCTATGAGCTCTTCTTTATTCAAGTCCAATATCAACAGTGGAAAAAATCCAACACGCCTACTAGAAACAACTGTAAAATGGAAGAACCACACAACACTGGGCAGGAGCACAACATCTAACATGGACTGTGCACATTACGGATGAGTTTGTCTCCAAACCAGGGTGCTGGCAAGCAATGGGGAATTCAAGGATGGCTTCTGCTTCTGACTGTGGGCACCTAAGGCAGCAAGGCAGTGACCTCCCCATGACAGGTCTCCCCTTAGTTGAACTGGAAAGATCCTGCTCTGGCAAGAGCTTAGCCTAATCTTCTTTGAATGCAGGTAACTGTGACACCAGACGTACAGCTTCCCGTGCTTCCTGTGGGAACACCAGCTGCTTTGCACACTGCCTGACATCAGCCCAGTTCCACTTGCAAGAATGACAGCCATCATCTTTGGCCACAGACTCTGTTGAGTCAGAAGGTCTTAGCTGCCACCGCACCATAAACTAATGCCATAAAACTATACCTTGAGCACAAATGCAGAAGCTATTATTCCTGTTTAGCAATTTGCACTTGTGCATCTCCCTCAATTCAACACTGATCACGGATTTGGAGACAGAGCAGAACAGCCAAGAGTGACAGCACACCTACTGGAGAATTAAGTTTTTCACTGTACAGAATTAAAGGGGGCACAGATCATACAATGCAGCTTTGTTAATGCTGTTTCAGTTATGTAGGAAGACCTTTAAAGCAGGTATGTTAGCCCAGAAGCTTCTCATCAATGCAAGCATGTCTGATTTGTACTACTTTTTTTTTAAGAGCAGAAAAAAAGAAAAGAAGAAATAAGCCCATTTTACAGGTCCTGAAAAAGACCATTTACAAGTCCTAAGCAGGCACTGTAATGATGTTACCTAACAGTCTGCAAGGAGGCAATGCTAGCAGTGACACAGGGATCCACGGTGGAGTACTGCCAGGATTGGTTTGCGGCGGGAACCCAGGGCAACTCAATAACATCGCCTTCCCTTGCTCTTCTCCCACATCCAAGGGTTTAGGATCATCCAGCAGTGCCTGGATGTCATCACAGCACCGCCCTGCTGAAGGGTGCGTGATACAGCCTTGGACAGGAGCCATCCTTGAACTGCTTGGGAGATAACTTAAGAGCAACAATCAGAAGTATGAAGGCCATGGGTGGTCTAAACACACGTGTAACTGCTTTGCTGGACCAGGGCCAAGGGCAACACACTGCAGGTTTGAATGAGACGCAGTGACGTGTGCAGATGCCTTACAGCAGCCCATTGTCCCACGTGGCCACAGCTGCTACATGGCCACACCAGGCAACCCCAACTAAACGCGAAATAGCCTTCAGTATCATCTGTTTTGACAGAAAGCAGGGAAAGAACACATCTTAAATCCAAACAATTTGGATCACATCATAGCAAATAAAGCCATTATTGGTACTAAATCCCAGTCTGCTGAGGTGCCTCTGTATCTCTACACCGTGCTTTTATCTGCATCCTTTTAGGCATTCAAGTTAAAATACAGAAAAGCCGTAATAGAAGTAAGGAGCCAAGTTTAACAGGTTAATTCTGTACTTTGCATCAGTATCAGCAGCCTTGGTTAAAGTCCCCATGCTCTGGAGGTGACCTGAGCCTATTCTCAGATATTAAGAATGCTACTATAGTGTTGCAAGGAAAACAAGACAGCTCTAAAACACTGATTTCTTCTTGTCTTTCCAGATTCACAGCATAAATCCAAAAGCTCAGTCTCCTTGCAAACCTCAGCATCCTGGCAGGGTCAGGGGAATGTCACAGTAAGTACAAACATTGTTGGGTCAAGTATATTCGGACTCCTAAAGCCTTTGTCTCACCTGACAATGTTTATTCTCACCCACACTCTAGGAAACAGTAGAAACCTACCAGTGTTTTGCTGACCATTGGTTTTGCAGGCAGTGAAGTCCCCAGTAGCCATTCAGCCCACCAGAGTTCTGCTGCTTCAATTCAGCCAATACCTGCTGACACTCACAGAGTTGTCCATGTTTTTAAAATGGTCATTTACTGTATCTGAGAAGTATTTTGGATCAGCTCACAGCTGTATTCAAATGATGTGGCAAAGGTCATCAGGAATAACAAGATATGGACCCTAAGCCCTGGAAAAGTGATTTCTGGCTTGGAACATTTCCTAGTCAGAACTGCCAGGAGTACTGATGGGCAGGGAGAAGACTGCAAATAACTGAGTGGCTGCCACACAGCTTAGCCATTTGTCAGCCTCCTTCACAGATTCGCTTCAAAATAGACAGTTGGTTTGGAGCTGAGGGCAAGAGCTGGTGAATTCAGGCTATTTAGAGAGAGACTGACATCTCAACTCAGGCTGGAAAAGAAAGATAATACAACTTGGGTTATTTTGGAGGAGACGGAGACTATATAAAGACCATTACCACAGCAAAACAAACCCAAGCACTTCAGTTGCACATTGCAATTACTACATACACCAGAGATGCCCTGGAATCAACTAAACCAGGTAGGGATCTGTGTAGAAGGGGACAACTACTGGAAAGCAACATTGATCTTTACACAAACTACACGATGTAGGCAATGAGCTGCCTTACAACATAAGACCAGAAACACCAGTTACCAGCTCCCTTCCCGCTGATTTTGCGCTCACAGTCCCACGAGTCGTTTTCTCATGGAGCGCTCGGATGGAGAACTCTCCACGGGGTATTTATTAGGAACAACAGATAAAACACTTCTTTCAAACCTTTCAAACAAAGTGCCAGAAACACAAACGAACTTCTGCAGATCAAAAATTCAAACTAAAAAAAATTGCTTTTCTTCACTACATACAGATGCAGAGTCCCTCAGGAAGCCTGACTGGGTCTCCCTATGGAATCACACCTGTGTTTACAAAGGTAACAAGCGCTCATCAAACAGCACAGCTTGCACTCAACTTCAGCTGCCAACTTCAGCTCTCAAGCTGTCTTGTTCCACGAGAAAAGAGGGTGGAATTTTGGTTCACTTACATTTCAAAAAAGCCAACATGCTTCATTTGCAGCACCATCAAACAAGCATCTTAATTGGTTAAATGATCCAAACTACTCACATGAATTCATCTCACTTATTTCCTACCAAGGCGGCTGAAGATGAAACCTCTCACAGTAACCTCCCTTATTATGTTATGTTCACTGCATTACATATTTATTTTCCTGTATTTTTATTTTCATTTAAATGCACACATCAGCCTTTTAATTAGCACTGGTCTGCAGGTAAAAAGGAAAACCCCAATCACCGCCCACTTCAAACACATCTAGAATTAAATCAATTATTGTGTGTTAAAAAAACAACAAACAAATCCAAAAACAAAAAAAAGCCAGAAAGAAGAGATCATCAGTTGCTGACAACAATCATCACAATCATACAAGGTTGCACTGTTCCCTAATAATTATCTCAGTAGGGAAATACTGAGGTCAGCCACCTAACTCCAATTTTTCCTCCCCCAGGGTCTGCAAAATGTAAGAGCTACAAAAGGTCAATTAGTGGTATTCGAATGTCGTGTCCATGCTACACCCACCTTACAGGTACACTGGTACAGAGAATACGATCAGATAATAGATTCTGCAGACTTCCGAATACTACGAAAAAGTAGGTATTGCTATGCCTGTCTGATGTGTGGGAATTTTGTTGGGACGCTGACAAAAAAAAGAACAAGACTGGCTTCCAGTCTGGCATTCTTAATCATTCCATTTTTTTCTCTCTTATTTTGAGCAGAGGCTTGTTCATCATCACTTCCTGGTAAGTACGCTGCACGTTTCTTTGTTGGAAAGCACATCACTTTAGTACCCTCAGCTTACTTTTTTCCTCCTAACCCAATTTAAAAACAACAGTGTTCAAAGAGTAGCCAGCAGACATCATGCAATGCCAGGCAAACAGCTTTGGTTTTGACACAAGCACCTGAAAGGCCCTGATTTATCCCATAACAGTGAAGAAGTGCTCTTCACGTGCCTTTTCCATCACCTTCTTGCATTTTATTGCTGCCAAGCCCATTAGTAATTAACAGTCATTTTGCAAGGACTAATTTCTTCCTATAAACATTTGGCTTTTACTGTACAGCAGCATGTCTGAATTTGTCATTTCAGAGGAAGTCTGCACCCTGGTTATTACAGAAGCTTTTCCAGAGGATTCTGGAATATTTAAATGCGTTGCTGAAAATGAATTTGGATCTGCAGCATCCAGTGCACGCCTCTCAGTTTCCCCAGGTAAGCAGATGAACCTCTGAGCTGAGCAACTGACCTTGAGAGAATTTGCTGCAGCTCAGCATCAGGCAGTCCCAGACCTTCACCAAACAAAATGCAGACCCGAATGCTTCCATTGACTCAAAGAGAAACAGCCCTAACGCAGTTTGCTTGCGTGCTTCTCAAAGATGAATGCAAGTTGTTCTGCATTTCTGCTTTTGCCTTTCTTCCTCACAGATGAGGGTAAAGACGACAGGGTGGGAATGCTGTTCTGTCACCAATGAGTCTCATTCCTGCACTTCATCCCTTCAGGACCCTCAGCTTAGCCCAACACACCACCTGTACCTACACCTTCATTACTGTAACACACACCTTGTCTGGCTTGTGTTGAAAGCCATCTCCAAACAGAACAACCCCTCACGTGTAAACCAAAGCTCACCAGCCCCAGTTTGGCTAACTGTGCAACTTTGGGCTTAAGCAGAGCCCAGGCAGGTTGAGCTCTTGTCTACCACAACACCCACCCCAATTTCACTCCAGCGAGCTGTACTGATGAACCTCCACTGCTTTCTGCCTGAGTTGTGGATGATTCTCCTTTTAGGAGCAAAAGAACTGGATAGCTTTGCGGGTGCTGCCCATGTGCCAGCTGTGCAAGTCACCATGAAGAAACCCAGCTTTGCCAGGAGCAGCCAAGCTGCAGTCAAGGACAGAGACATGCCCAGCCTGCCGTCCTACAGCACGGACACAGCAGAAGCCACAAACTTTGGCCAGCTAAATTCAAAGAGCGAAGTTGAAGATTTTCATGGAGTTTATGAGAATTCGCCTCAAAATTCTCCTCTGCGGTAAGACAAAGAGAAAACCACATCCCTTTATTTTTACATCCTACACTGGGAATGAACTCACTAGGCACCATAGCAACACAACTGCAAAGGTCCTGTGCCCCATGCCCTAACAGGTCAAACATGCACTTGCAGCAGCCTACCGTTTCCCTAAATGACAACAGGAGCATTCAGTATCAGCTTAGCTACAGAACAACACGGGTTTGACTGGCAAAGTATAGAACAACCTACAGGCTCAAGTAGGTGCATCATGCTATCTGCAGAACTGCCTGTCTGTAACTTTAAAAGCGTGACCCCAAATCAATAACCTCTGGAAGGCCTCAGGCTCCACAAAGGAGCACAAGGCAAAGACCATAGCATGCAGGAAATCTCAAATCACCACTCTGTCATCATCAAGTTCCTCTGCAGCCTTGAACAAGTGGCATCACCTCCTGTTCCCATTTACCATCTTGGCAACCCCATCCTAGATTTTCGTGGTGCTTATTGGCACAACACAGAGCTCCAACAGTGAGGGCTGAGAGTCCCAAGCTCAGCACTGTAAAGCAATTTCCTCCATTCTGTTAGCAAAGGGGAAGCCATGATGTGCGCCTCCTCTCCCTGCCAAATGCCAGTGATGCACTACAGCAATCCCATCACACCGTGTGGGAACGGCTGTCCGTGACCAGAAGCATTCTGGGCTATAGATTATTTTTGGATGTACTCAGCCACTTTAACTAAACCAGTTATCTTAACAATCCTGAACACCCTCCTCCAAACTCACTACTGGACAGATCATGTTTCAGTATAGATCTCTCTGAGAGCAGGAACTTTTTACTGCATCACTGAGTAAAAACAGGGTTTGCTTCAACAACCTGCAGATATCCCTCAGTTGTCACGTTAGCCCCAGGCCCTCCCAGGCTGAATTTCTCCAGTAACATCAGCTGGGGCCCTACAAAGAGCCTACTGCAGAATCAAGAAGGTAATCAGCAGACCTGAGGGACTGCAGCACTGCCAAGCTGCAGACGGATTGTTTGCAGCCTGTGATGAAGCTGTGTGTATGCCATCATTGCTTTCAAATACCACAAGCACAGGAACACAGCACTGGGTTTGAGTCAGTGAGTTCATGCTCAACTAGCCCAGTCCAATCCCAGAGATTAAGGTGAATTTTCTTCAGTGTCTAATACAGAGCTGCACTGCATGTAAGCTTTACCTGATAGTTAGCTCGAGCAAGAGCAGACGCTTAATTGTCTACCAATCACAAGTGAAAGCTTTTCTAAAATCCCTGAAAAGCCTTTAGGAGAAATAGGGGCAGCTGCAGACAGATGCTGGCCCTCCTCTCAGAACAGGACTTTTTCATCCTCCCTGCAGACTGCTCACAAGCACTCCTAACCAGTGACCTGCAAGAAGGCTAATTCTGACGAGACTCACTGCTGCATTTATAGCGTGTGCCTGATGCCCTGCATCAAGAGATGTAGCATTCCACCAAAATCAGATATGCAATAGCTTCTAGAAATTTTGTTTATAGGAGATGTTAACTAGCATAGAGGTCTGCAGAACACTTGCAGCTGGCAGCAATGCTGAACCATTTGGAAAGCATGAATATAAACCTCAAGGCACAGAGAGAAAAAAAACACAAGAATTTCTTGAAGCATCCATCAGTAAACATTTAAATACTTCTGAAACACACAGCCTTATTGCAGTGTGCTCTGAAACAGCATTGTGAATGGGACTCAACACTGCACATTGCTGTTAATAACAATTAATCAATCACCTGTAATGATTAGCTGTAAAATAACTATGTCTTGTCAGAAGATTCAGCCATACCACTAGCATGTAATGCATGTGGTTGAAACCGTTACCGAAGACAAAAAGAACTCCTGACAAATATCAGGATGGTAGGACAAAGCCACTACTGGGAACAACTCTAAAATGAATGAGATCTTTGTACTTCTCAATTTTTTTGCTTAGCAACAGACACTCCATAAAAGCCAGAAATGCAGTTCTAGAGGAGCACAGCTGCCATTAGTCCTTTTGAGCCTTTATACTTACAGGTTACAGCATCCTTCCCAACAGCCTTAAAGAAAGGGACCAAAACCAGTCCTGCTAGACTCCATACTGATTATTAAGTTAATATAAACCACTCAATCAAAGCAAAAGAAGAGGCCATGGGTATTTTTAGATAGCTTTGACAATTCCTCAGTAAATAAAAAGATTCCTAGCTTTGTTTTTTTCCCCTGTACTGTCATTGCTGCATCACTGAGGAACCAGGAGAACCTGCTCAGATGCAGTGTGTCACCAGTAATAAAAAAGAAAACTGAAGTAGTACAGAAAACCTCATCTCAGCAGCTGGTCAGGTACTATCAGCTTCCCCCCAGCATAAGCTATCAGATTTACCCCTCTGCCTTCAACACTTGAGCTTCTAGTTCCTTCAAGTTTCTTTCCCACCTGCTGGATCTCACACACTTCTGTTCTTTCCCTCTCACACAAGTCGTGCCAGTTGTGTGCAGCCATTTAAGCACAAAGCTATCTCCTCCAACAGAAGCCTTGCAGCCTGCTTTGGCCCAGAAAGCAGCATGCTGCACCCTCGTTGGAGCCCATGGGAAGGCAGAGAGCCCATCTGCACACAGAGCTGGCCTTCAGCTGCTCCCAGCTTCCTGCAGAACAAGCCTTCATGCCACGCTTACGCTCCTTTGTTTATTTTTTCAAGTAATCAACTCTCCGTACAAACCACACTTTGTCTATTTTAACTAAAACTGCAACAACCAGGCCATGCTCCTTCCCTCTCTGCCTTTCACCAGAAGGAAATGAAAGAAATTAGCACCCAATCAACACCTGGTTGTAGATATTGTCCACAAATGGTGAGCTGATGCTTAAATACAAACCCTCACCGCAGGTTAACTCAGAGGTGGCTGTACTGGAAGGATTCACCCTTGCAAGGCTGGGCCCGTCGGCCTGGCTTGGAGGTTTTTTAAACAATAGTATGCATGTTAGGCAACGGTTGCTAAACTATAATTAAGATACTTAAATGCTATAACGCTAATTTAAGATGCAATTAAGCTCTGCAGCCTTTGATTAAAGGCATCACCTAATCTGCCAGCAGGATCTGGTGAAAGCAGCCTGGCTGGCTCTCCTGATCTAAGTTCATATACATAATAATAGCCCCAAACAGCAATATATCATCAAAGAATGCCTTACCACCAAGCCCATTTAATTGGTATTATTCAGCTTATGAATGACTCTTCAGACACTAGTGGTTACTCCACCAGCAGCAGCATTCCTGTGTGCTATGATGTGCAGCACAGGGCACTGCCAGCTCTGAGCAGTGCTGCAGTGTGCTGCTCACTGCTTCCTTCCCAGCCCTGACAGCTGGCTTTTCCAGGGTGTACGCAGTCCTGAAAGCAGTACCAAGTTTTAATCACTACAATTAGCTGCTGCTGGATGTGGTAAATGAAGAAAGAAGGAATTTCACTGAGCTTCTCAACAAAGCAGGACTTAGGGGGGACTCTATAGCCAGGTCTCACCACTGCCCACAGTGTGATTTGCTGACTGCTGGCACCTGCCAAAAAATGAGGTTCTGGCCCATAAATAAAGTGCCCTCAGCAAGGGCTGGGTTGGAGACTCTTATTCTGACACTGGTGTAGGCAGGAGGACAGGCAGGTCCAGCAGTGTCATTTGCTGGCAGCACATTAAAGTCTCTGGTCTTATAATGCTACGCAGAGGGCTACTATGACAGTCTGTGTCAGTGAATGACGGTCCCTTCCCAAAATACGGGTTAAAGCCCAGGTGACAACTTCTAGGCTCTAGGTAAGGCTTTTTTTTTTTTTTCTCAGCACTTTTTATTGCAAATCTGGTTAGTGAGTTAGCATGGGAAATTACAACGTGCTGGGTAATGCTGAGATAGAAATAGAAATGTACCTTTAAGGTACTGTAGTGTCAAGTGTAATGTGAAAGGCAAAGAAGGGGAAAAAAAAAGATTGAAAAAGCAAAGTGGCTCTTACTGCTTCTTGTTGTCATCTTGTAAAGTAAAAATCTGCTTGGATTTTTCTGTTTCCACCCAAAGCATGGTGGAGTCATTGAAGGGAAATGTAACTTTCTCCTCGGTGCGAGGAGCGGATCTGTGCATGGGGAGCAGCAGCTCAGGGTCTTATAGAACCGTAGTGTTCTAGGAAAGAAGGTAAAGGTCTGTACAGATCCTGTACATAAATAGAATGAATCTGTACACTGATGTCAAAGCAGTATAAAAAAACAAGATTCGACCAGTTTTCTGCACCAGTGAATGAGAAGATAGTTTGGATACGCTTCAGAAAATCTGAGCTGGCTTCAAATTCCAAGAACACAACCAGGAGAAAATCAGGGAATTGTTACTATGAAACCTGTTTACTTATTGTTAATTTACAACTAGTGTTTGTAATTACCTTTAGGAAATGAAAGCTTTGAAACTTTATAAGACAGACAAGAGCAATGTCTTCAGTTGATTCTCTCCCCTAGGAATTTCTCACCTCTTTGGGCTCTCCAATGAGAGGAATACAATATACTGTGTATATATAGCAGCTAAACAGCTGATCTCAGTGGGACAAGATTACAATTTTTTCCAGCACATGTAACTGTGTGGATTTACATTCTCATTTTTTATTAGTAACTTTTCATTTATTTGGCGGGGGAGGAATTGGTATTTAATTATCTCAGAGCTGAAGTTAGTTGCTAGTCCTCACAGACGTACTCAGTTCACTCAAAGGAAACATTCTTGTGCTGTGAATTGATAGGATATACCTACATTTAGATATCAGTGGCTTCCAAAATAAGTGGAGGACCCCTAAGCAGCTTGGAGAGCCCTACTTCGTCCTGCAGTTATGCCATTCCAGGAGTTATAAGCCAGAACAGCAAATCTCAGCGAATGGCTTCCAACAGAGAAGTGTGGTCTTCAGTATTCCAAGTCCCAAGTCTCAATTTGTTACATAACAGTCCGAATTCAAAAGCTCCTGGGGAAGAAATCAGGGTGCTTGGTTTCCAAAGTTTAGTTTTAGATAG